GGCGGCCGCGTGCTGCTGATGGGCGCGGAGCCTCGACCGGTGGGTCTGTCAGACGCGGGGGCAGCCGGCCGGCGCCCCGTCTCGCTTCCCGGCGGCTGGCGTGCGATAGAGGCGCCGAGAGGGGACCGCAGCCTGCGCTCCCGCCCCGGGAGCCCGCTGGTCGACTGACACGCCGTGCCACCAATGGCAGGCCGCGGCGGGGGCGGGGGCGGGGGCCAAGCGGGCGGGGCCTTGCGGGGTGGGCGGGGTCTCTGCGCTCTGGGTCGCCAGCCCGGGCTGCGCAGCGCCGGTGGTGCTCCGCGGGGCGGGGGTGGGAAAGATACTGCTGGGATGCAAACGCCGCTTCTCGGGAAACATCCTGGGGATTCCACCTGGACGGGTCCTACGACCTCCTTGGCACTTTATATCGAAGGCCCACTGAGTGGGAAGGAAGGAAGACTGGTGGGTGAGATGGTGTGGGAGAGGGAATGGTCCCATTTTCCTCTCGTGGCAAGGTTACAGCATTCCCTTCCCTGGCCCATACGTTAAACCGCTGGTCGGTCAAGGTTATGGGTGGGTGAGACTGGAATCCAGCTGTTGACCCAGGGCCTGTTCCACTAGACTGGGCAGATTTCCTGATCTTGATTTCCCTCCGTCTCAGCAGAACGGGGTTGTGCTCACTTAGAACTCAGTTTACATTAGGAGCGGTTATTGACAAAGCTGATCATCTGTTAAAGTGGTTTATCAAAAGGAAAAAAGGCAGTAGCGAATAGTAAAAATAAACAGTCCAACAATAAAAACGCACTCACAACAAGGTTCTTTCACCCCTGATTTCCTTGTCAGATGACCTTTTTTTTTTCACAAGAAAAAGGAAGAAACTTAAAATCTTGGTGAACACTTCCTCCTTCTCCAATATACACAACTCCAGAGACAAACAGACTTGCATGTGACATGGTTTGGTACCTTTTGAAAAATTCCATAACTAAAGAAAGATGTGGGAAACACCCTGGAATTTTAGGTGGCTCCAGTATACTTAGGGCAATGTCTGCAAGTAACCACTTCCCCCCTCTGAGTCTCAGTGCAAATGATTAGAGGATCCCACAGGTCTTTGGCAACTTCAGGAAAATTCTGAATCAGAGCAACAGCAATTAATATAATGCTGGACATTTACTGAGAGCTGACATCGGGCCAGGCACTTTGGTAATCCTTTTCTGTCTTATTTTACGTATTATTTCACCTAATCCTCACACTGGTCCAGGAGGTAGGTACTATTGGTTGTCTTGTTGTTGCACTGGCTCTTCACTGCAGCACGCAGGCTCTTCATTGCAGGCTTCTCTCTAGTTGCAGCCAGGTTTAGTTGCCTGGGGCATGTGGGATCTTAGTTCCCAGACCAGGGATCGAATCCACATCCCCTGCATTAAGGGCGGATTCTCAACCACTG